TCGACAGCTCGGGCTTGGGTCTCGAGCAGCGACAGCGAGTGCTCTCGGCGCGGGCTTCGCTCAACCATCTCGCTGCTGCTCAACCAAATTCAGATAGCGAGCCGGTCATCTCGGGCCCCGACTGCCGTTCAGGAATGGATCCTGGACAGCATCACGGAGCGCGTTGCCGCTGTGGGCCCCCCCCCGCCCGGCCTAGCGGCCGAGGGGGCTGCTCGCGAGTTGCTGGCTTCTAAGGGCCTGTACGCCAGGAGCTGAAGAACCTCGCGCCGTTCGATCTGACAAAGCTCAAGGTCGCGAAGGGGCGCGCTCGACCTCGCTCTGTGGCTAAAAATTATTGCCGCCTTTGCCCGCGGACATGATCCGCAACCCTGCGCTGTGCATCGAGAAGGATGAGGGGGAGATGGAGTTCACGCGCCAGCACACCGATCCTATTCGTCCTTACTGGGATCCTGTGCTTCGCTCGAGTCGGACAGAGCGTTGGCGACTCTTCAGAGTTTTGTATGAGCTAGGTCCGATAACTGTCAGGCGTCGTCTCCGGGCTCGTGCTGCCCTCTTCTTTGTGAAGAAAAAGAAACCAGGTGAGATTGTAATGGTTGTGGATGCTAGACAGGCCAATTCGTGTCATCGTGCCCCTCCGATTTCAAGGCTCGGCTCAGCTGGGGCCCTTGCGGACCTCGACCTCTGCGTGGGTGGCGAGTGCATCGACGGTGTCGGCAGTGTATAGGCTGGGGCCCCCACGGGAACGAGGCCGATGTCGAGGACTGCTTCTACAACTTCGCCATCGATGGCTTGGCGGAGTGGTTCGGTTTCGACGACCCGCTGCCCGCCGCCGAGATCAGGGACACGCACGGCATCAATGTCGGAGCGTTCTGGGACCCCGAGCTGAACGCGATGGTCTCCGTGGAGGACGACATTGTCCTGTACCCGTGCATGCGCGCTATGTGCATGGGGTGGTCCTGGGCTCTGTACTTCGCGCAGGAGGCTGTGTCCGCTATGACAGAGCGGGCGCTGCGCTCGTCGTCTCTACCGACGCCTGCCATGGTGAAGGAGCATCATCCCGCGCCCGACTTGAATGAGTCTAAGGTCATGGGGAGCGTCTACGTGGACAACATCGCTGTCTTCGGCAGGGACGCTCCTCTGGCTCGTGAGGCGAGCTCCGCCCTGCAGGCTGAAGCTGATCGATCGGGTTTGCCAATCACGTGGTCCTATCCTGATGTGGTGACCCACCTCGAGACCGTAGGCGTTGAGATCGACCTCAGGAAGGGGAAGCTTCGCAACAAGGCCTCCCGAGTGTGGCGGTTCGACTTGGCCACCCGCGCTCTCCTGCGTCGTGGCAAGATGCGAGGAGAGCACATGGAGGTCTGGCTGGGCCACGCTGCATCGCTGCTGATGCTGGCCAGGCCTGGGTACGCCGCGCTCTCGGCCACGTACCGGTTCGCCGAGACCGCCTGGGGTGTTCGGACCCCTCTGCCGCGTGAGGTCATGCACGAGATGAGGTTGGTCACTGGGCTGGTCTGGCTCGCTGAGGTCGACCTGGCGGCGCCCTACGTGCCGCATGTCTATGCCAGCGACTCCGCCGACAACGGGTACGGCCTGATGTGCAAGAAGGCCACGGTCGAGGAGATGCAGTCGGCCTTCCGCTGGAAGGAGAAGTGGAGCTTCAGGCAGCACCTCCGAGGCCCCCGAGTCGGTCTGACTTCGGCCGCTGATATCGCTGAGATGGGCGGCTACAAGGAAGTAGACGAGACGCAGCTGGATCACGAGGTGGGGCCCCGCTGCCGCTCCGCCGAGCCGAACGCTGCCTCCGCCCCTGCCGCGGCCTTCGGCCAGTGGCTGCAGAGCAAGGCCGAGGAGGGCTCTGCCCTCGACAGACCTCATCGGCCTCGCCCTCGCCGTCTGCGACGGCGCCCAGCCGACCCTGACGATCCCGACGCCGAGTGCCTCGGTCAGGTGGGTCCCCTGGCACCGCCGCTGCCCGCCTCCTGGTTCGACTCGGAGGGCTTCAAGCTGGTGGCGGCAAGGCGCCGGCGCTGGCCTGGGGAGCACATCAATGTGAAGGAGACCCGCGCCGCAGTGATGGGACTGCGGCATGCCTGTTGCGTTCGCCAGAATTGCGGACGCCGCCTAGTTTCTCTCGTGGACTCCATGGTATGTGTTGGCTGCCTGGACAAAGGGCGGTCCAGCCGCTCAGCAGCTTTGAACGCGCAGTGCCGGCGAGCTGCGGCCTACACAATCGGGTGTAGAGTGCGTTGGAGGCTGCGGTATGTCAACGCGAAGTTTAACGTGGCCGACGCTCCATCTCGTCGGTTCGAGCACAACTCCCCCGACAAAGAATACAACATACAGAGTTCGACAGACATGACATCATCTTCTCCCTCTTACTCCCCTTTGAACGCTGTAGTCAAGACGGGCAGCCTGCCCCCTGGACTCGGTCTCGCAGGGCATCCGCCCGCCGCGGCCGAGAGCGACAAGCATCTGGGTGTGCAGCCTCCCGAGGAAATCGAAGCTTCTCTGCGTCGAGCATCCTGTCCGTCTTCTACTTCGACACCTTCGGTGACCAGTCGGACCGCCTGTCCCCCTCTACGTCTTGGGCGCGCTCAGCTTCGGAGACGGGCCCAGCAGGGCCAGGGTTTCTTGGAGCTGTTCTCGGGCGAGGGTGGGCTCTCCAAGGCGCTCGAGGAGCTCGGCCTGTCTACTTACCCCTGCATGGACATCAAAGATGGGGCTCGCTATGACCTCCAGGACCCGAAGGTCCAGAACATCATCTTAGAAGACATCCGAAAGGGGCGCTTCTGGTACGTGCATCTTGGGACACCTTGTTGTGTGTGGTCTCGGGCTCGTCACGGCATCACCAACTATGAAAAAAGCCGCGTGCAAGGGGCGTGTGGGTGTGGCTCTAGCGTTGTTCAGCTGCCGTGTTGCTTATGAGTGTTCGCGGAACGGCGTCTTTTGGAGCATTGAGAATCCGAGATCCTCCAGACTCTGGGACTTCGACCCCGTTCGAGAGCTCACTGACCTTCCTGACGTTGTTCGCGTGTGTTTGGTACACTGTAGTTACGGAGCCTCCCGCATGAAGCCGACAGCGATTCTCACTAACCTTTCAGCCCTGAGTTATTTAGCTTCGGTGTGCTCCAGAGATCATCCACATGTTGAGCTCAGAGGTTTCGAGACCGTGACGTTGCCATCTGGGGCTCGTGTTTCTCGCAATCGTACGGCAGGCGCTGGAGCTCACCCCCGCAGTCTTTGCCAGGCGTGGGCCCTGGCCGCGGGCATGTCAGCGCCTGCGCGAGCCCGAGGCGGCCCAGGCCCGCCTGACGGCGGGGGCCTGGAGGCCCGGCTTCGCGATGCTGCGCGACGGCCGGCTTCGCGCGCCCGCGGGCGCCTCCGACCAGCTCGGCAGCGGCTTCAAGCGGAGCCTGACCTCGGGCTCACTGGCGCCGTCGACTCAGCCGACCTCGAGAGCAGGTTTGACCACCTGCGGCCTTTCATCGTCTTCGGTCAGGACTCCAACCTCGAAGCAGCAAGGAAGCAGGCAGCCCGCTCGAGGAAAGGCCCGAAAGGTCGCTGGCCGCCGCTCCCGCGTCTCTAGCTTCGTGGAGGCGATCAAGGGCCGCAACCTGAGCTTTGGGCCGACGGCGCCAGTCCCTGCGGATGGAGGTGTCGCCCGTTTCGGTTCGATCACCTCGACGTCGCTCGAGCGATATGGGACTGCAGTTCGCGAGTTTTTCGACTGGGCGACGCGCTCAGATGACCTCAGACAAGCTCCAGAGTCCGTTATCGATCAGAAAATGTGCAAGTACTTCGATGTTCTCATGAGTGATGCTCGACAGGCCGCTGAAGGACGGTACACACTCTGGGGGTATCTGACTTTCTTCCCACGGTCGGACATCGCCAAGTCCGCCCGCCTCGCGATGGCTCGTGAGGCGATGAAGGGCTGGGTCCGCAGGTTTCCTGGCTCCTCACGACATCCGTGGCCTCTCTCGGTTTTCTATTTGTTCATGACTGTCTTCCTGAGGGACAATCACACCGAGGCTGCCGTCGCCCTGGCCATCCAGCTAGACGCCTACCTGAGACCTTCTGAGATTTGCGAACTGCGGTGGTGCTCCGTGGTTCAGCCCTCAAAGCTCTCATCTTCATTGTCAAGAAACAAGTGGGCTGTTGTCATTGGTAACTCAGACCTCGGTGAGACCACGAAGACTGGTGAGAGTGATGACACTGTAGTCCTCGACTCTATCGGCCGTGAGTGGGTAGGTTCCGTGCTTGAGATGTGGGCTAGGCGCCATAAATCTGACACCTCTTCTGATCAGCTAGTTTTCCCGCACCTGTCTCTAGCCAAGTATGAAGCACTTTTTAGGAAATACAGTCGCTCTGTCCTCGGCAAAGTAGGGCACCTCACTCCCCACGTGGCCCGTCACTCTGCGCCCAGTCACGACGTGTTGGTGCGCGCTCGCAGTCTAGCAGCTGTCCAGAAGCGCGGGCGCTGGGCCCACGCCAAGTCCGTAAAACGATGCGAAAAGAGCGGCCGCCTTCTTCTCCAGGCCGCCCGTCTTCCTTCCGAGCTCGCGAGGCGAGCCACGGCTGCGGAGGCCTCCATCTTTCAGTGCTTTCAGGAGGCCCTCCAGTAATGGATCACGGTATGGGCTGTGATTGCCAAAGCCTTTGTTGACTCCTCAGGTGTACTCGTGGACCGAGTATCCCTTCGGAAGGAACCTTTTCGCTCTGCTCGCCTGGCGCATGTCAAACAGAGAAGGTTCAAAGAGATCCCCCAGCGAAGGATCTAACCAGCCTCTGGAGTGGGTCTCTGGGCCGCTGGAGAAGGGTCAGAGATGTTTTTAATCTTTGATTATTATATCTCTCGCTTCGTTGAGGCCCGCCTCTGTCAGCTTGCCTGTCTGTAACTATTTCGCTCAAGTCTCCCTCCTCTCCGTCTGTCTGGGCTGTGATTGCCAAAGCCTTTGTTGAATCCTCAGGTGTACTCGTGGACCGAGTATCCCTTCGGAAGGAACCTTTTCGCTCTGCTCGCCTGGCGCATGTCAAACAGAGAAGGTTCAAAGAGATCCCCCAGCGAAGGATCTAACCAGCCTCTGGAGTGGGTCTCTGTGCCGCTGGAGAAGGGTCAGAGATGTGTTTGTATGTCTGTCTGTCTGTCTGAATGTATGTATGCATATATGCACATATATATATATATATGTATGTATATATATATATGTATATGTATATGTATATGTATGTATATATATATATATATATATATACCAGGTGCTTGTAGTTTATGCGGGGCAATCTATGTGGTGCGATGTATGCGACATTACCTATATAATACAACCTACGTGGAACAATATATGTGGTGCAATTCACTTTGACCGTCTTGAAGCTGTCCTCTCCACTGCTCGTGCAAACATCCCACCCTCCCACCCGCAACTTGGTCGCAATACCTCTTGAGACAAGACTGTGACGGTAGGTACCAGATGGCGCTTGGCCACGACACTGACGCCGACGACGACAGCGACAACGACGACGACGGCGCCGCCGACACCGACGACGACGACACCGACGACGTCTCCAACGACTTGAACGACGACAGCGACCTCGACGACGACGACACCGACGACGACGACGCCGACGACGACGACGACGATGACAACGACGACGACGACGCCGACGACGACGACGACGCCGACGACGACGAAGACAACGACGACGACGACGACAACGACGTCGCCAACGAAGACGACGACGAGGGAGGAGGGAGGACGACGACGGCGACAACGACGACAACGACGAGGGAGGAGGGAGGACGGCGACGACGCGAACGACGAAGAAGGAGGAAGGACGGCGACGCCGACGACGACAACGACGAGGGAGAAGGAAGACGACGACGACGACAACAACGACGACACGTCCTGAGTATGGGCGGATCTAAATAGGAGGGGACGAGAACGACGGCGTGACGTCGACGACGGACGAGACGACGACGACGACGAGGGAGGTAAGGACGACCACGGCGACAACCGACGACACGACGACGGAAAGGACACGACGACGAAAGAGGTCCAACGACGACGAACACGAGGAAAGACAGTGGACGAGTAGGCGTCGAGACGGAGCGGGAGGAGGGAGGACGGTCCGACGGCGACGACGACGACGCAGAGCGGTGCCGGCGCCACGCTTTTGCTGAACATTCCGTGTTGCGAAACCTTGGGTTTTTGTAGGTTTTATGGTGTACACGATTTTTGAAATCCTTCCAGAAGCCGATGGGTTTTTGAAGGATTTCGCGTAGCGCGCGACGTACGCGCGCGTCTGGGGCGACTGCACTTCGTCCCATTTTTTGCAGAGGATTCTCGCGACGGCACACGCGCACCGGCGTTCGACAGGTTTCGACATGCGCGCGCGAAGCCCGTTTAATACCATTGTGTGAAAATCTTGAAAAACCAATGGTTTTCTTAAGATTTCGCAAGAGCTCGCGCGGAAGCTGTTTCAGCACATCAGTGTTGCGAAACCCGGTGTTTTTGCATGTTTTTTGGAAACTCGATTGCGAAATCGCTCCACGGCACCGAAGGTTTTTTGAAGGATTCGGTTATGCGCGCGCGACGACGCGCGCGTGTGCACTTCGTCCCGTTTTTTGCATGGGATTCGTGAACAAGTCTTATGTTAGAGCGAAAAATGTCCCCGCGTATTGTTTTTTACACGAGAACCTCAGGGGGAGCGATGCCGGTTCCCGTGGGATAATGGAAATTCATTGTTAAGATGGACATGTGGTCATAATCATACATGATTTACATACCCGAACGGGGGGCCGATAACGCCGGGGGGGGGGGGGTAGTGTCTATTTTTTTTTTGGAAACGGATGATGATCAGCCCTGCCGCCGCGCTTTGACCACTCCACTGCCTCGCGGGCATCGTTCCACCCACCCACCCGCAACTTGTTTTGCAAAATGTCGTAAGACCGTGACGGTGGGTACCAAATGGCGCTTGGCAGCGACAGCGACGCCGACGACGACAGCGACAACGACGACGACGACGCCGACAACGACTACGACGACACCGACGACGTCTCCAACGACTTCGACGACGCCGACCACGACGACGACGCCGACGACACTGCCGACGACGACGACGACGTCGACGACGACGATGACAACGACGAACGATTGACGACGCCCGTCGACGACGACGACACGTCGACGCCGACGACGCCGTCGTCACGCCGCCGACGACAACGACGACGACTGACCGACGACGGCGGCGACGACGACGCCGACGTCGACGACGACGAAGACGACGACGCCGACGCCGACGACGACGACGAAGACGACGACGACGTCGCCAACGAAGACGCCGACGAGGGAGGAGGGAGGACGACGACGGCGACAACGACGACAACGACGACAACGAGGGAGGAGGGAGGACGGCGACGACGCGAACGACGAAGAAGGAGGAAGGACGGCGACGCCGACGACGACAACGACGAGGGAGGAGGGAAGACGACGACGAGACGACGACGACAACGACGACAACGACGGCGACGAAATTGGAGGGACGACGACGAGACGCCGACGACGGACGACGACGACGACGACGAGGGAGGAGGAGGAAGGACGACCACGGCGACAACGACGACGGAAACGACCACGACGCCCAAAGCGGACGACCGACGACGAACACGGGAAAGACAGAGGACGACGTAGGCGACGACGACGACGACGCGGGTGGCGGGAGGCCGGCGACGACGACGACGACGACGCAAGAGCGCGGGCGCACGCTTTTGTTGAAAATCCGTGTTGCGAAACCTTGTGTTTTTATTTGTTTTTTGGACACGCGATGTTGACATCCTTCCGTAGCCGATGGGTTTTGAAGCATTTCGGCATACGCGCGCGACGACGCGCGTGTCTGCACTTCGTCCCGTTTTTTTGCAGAGGACTCTTCGCGACGGCAAACGCGCAAGGGAGTTTGACATATTTCGTCACTCGCGCGCGCGAAGCCCGTTTGGTAGCATGTTATGAAAATCTTGGAACACCGATGGTTTTCTCAAGATTTCGCAAGAGCTCGCGCGTAAGCTTTTCTAGCAAATCAGTGTTGCGAAGCCCTGTGTTTTTGTATGTTTATTGGAAACTCGATTGCGATATCCTTCTGGCACCGACGGTTTTTTGGAGGATTTTGGCATGCGCGCGGCGATGCGCGCGTGTGCACTTCGTCCCGTTTTTTGCAAGGGATTCGCGAAAACGTGTTATGTTAGAGCAACATCTGTCCCCGCGTATCGTTTATTGCAAGGGATCATCAGAGGGGGTCGATACCGCCCCCCTGGGGATAGTGTAATTTCATTTTTAGGATGGACATGTGGTCCGAATCTTATGTGATTTGCGTACCCGAAAGGGGAACTGGTAACTCCGGGGGGGGGGGGGTAGTGTCTATTCTCTATTTCGAAAAATGAGAATCCACGCGGTGCAACCTATGTAGTGCAAGCTATGCGGTGCAATCTATGTGGTGCAAATCCATTTTGACCGTCTTGAAGCTGTCCTCTCCGCTGCCCGTGCAAACATCCCACCCTTCCACCCGCAACTTGGTCGCAAGACCTCTTTAGACAAGACCGTGACGGTAGGTACCACATGGCAGTTGGCCACGACACCGACGCCGACGACGACAGCGACAACGACGACGACGGCGCCGCCGACACCGACTACGACGACGCCGACGACGTCTCCAACGACTTCGACGACGACAACGACGACACCGACGACGACGACGACGCCCACGACGTCAACGACGCCGACGACGACGTCGACGACGACGGCGGCGACGACGACGCCGACGTCGACGACGACGAAGACGACGACGACGCCGACAACGACGACGAAAACGAAGACGACGACGACGTCGCCAACGAAGACGACGACGAGGGAGGAGGGAGGACGACGACGGCGACAACGACGACAACGACGACAACGACAAGGGAGGCGGGAGGAGGGAGTACGGCGACGACGCGAACGACGAAGAAGGAGGAAGGACGGCGACGCCGACGACGACAACGACGAGAGAGGAGGGAAGACGACGACGAAACGACGACGACGACGACGGCGACGAAATAGGAGGGGCGACGGCGAGACGCCGACGACGGACGACGACGACGAGGGAGGAGGAGGAAGGACGACCGCGGCGACAACGACGACGGAAAGAACCACGACGCCAAAGAGGACCACGACGACGAACACGAGGAAAGACAGAGGACGTCGTAGGTGACGACGACGACGACG